CATCTAAAAATTTTTATGAAAGAACAACACCTAAAAAATAGGGGTACAATATGTTAAATGATGACATAAAAAATATAAAAGCTATATAAATACAAAGATAAAAAAGCGGGTAAGTGGATGTYGCTCTGCTGTACATTAGGTGGTGGGGTGGACCTCTGACTAGGGTAGGTTAGATTTGAATGCAATGATAGTATACGTAATCATTGTATACGAAAAACGATTCTGAACGGAGATGATTTGTCAGTCTAGGATATATTATAGATAATTAAAAATTTTCAAATCTTTGATTTAAAAAGAAAATTTTGTATAAATTTCTAGCTTAAAATAATTTACGAATTTTCGTAATTTTTATGTATATAGTCAATATTTGAACTTCAAATGCYAATAAAAAAAAATTGTGCCTACGTATGGTTATTTATTTGGATAATTGTTAAATCAAAAACATACCTCAACTGGCTTGATTGACATATAAAACCCACCTAGGGTAGTTCTTAATGAGGGGTTAGGTTAAATTTGATTACTCTAAGACCTACCCAAGGTGGTTTTACATCATAGSAAATCGAGGGATGTTTTCGATTTAAATTGTCCACGAGAGCACATTGAGCGAGTAATACTGCAGAGTACAGTGTCTTTATGGTAGGTAGTCGCAATAACCTAACCTAAAAGTATGAAATCCTTTGCTCTTCTTAGAATCTAAAATGCAAAATTAACTAAATATTTAGATTTGTATGGTATTTAAACACATTTAGAAATAGGATATCATCGTCTATATTAAAAACAAAATTTACTAATTTTATGCCTTAATTATAAAATTATAAATAATTATTTTGATAATCTATAATTGCCAATCTATCTTACGTGWATCCATCCTAAGGTAATAAGGTCTTGCTTGTCTTGAAATTCGAAAATGTCTTCTTCATTCATTGTAGTACATGAATCAGATGTACCACTTTGTTTTGGAATCATCAAATGAGTCACAATTAAACAGTTAGAACTCTATAATGAAAAAGTATGTTAAATTTGTACCATACTACTCTCAGCATAAAAAAAACAACTAAAATTAAGCTACAATACTCCTTAAAAAAAAAGTTAAATTAAATTACCAATCTTCCTGCTAATATGCCACAAGTCTCCAAATTATTTGTTGTATTACGTTGCGCTTGTTCTAGGAATCTTCTAGTTAAATTGCCTGGAACTATTATTTGGCGAAGATTGTAYGAGCTTGAAGTATTCTTGTTTAACATTGGTTTGGTACTTCTATCAACAATAGGCTTATGTCTAAAAAAAAATAATTGATTTTAAACACAACTTTTAATATCTAATAAGTAATAGTAAGTAGAATGTATAATTAATATTATTTAATACTCAAAATTAAATAATTAATATAAATATAGTTTTTAGTTATTTTAAACTATTCTGAATTTAACACAATATGTTCCAAAAATTTTATCTTGTCTGACCTTCTTCTGAATTTTTATCTTTGGTAACATGGAGTGCTGTTAATGTTTCTAAGGCCGCTTAACTAAAATCTTCTAAGACCTATTTTTTTTATTATTATTAAATAGAGTTATTATAACTTATATTTTTGCTAACTAGAGTCCGGCCAAATAACCTAAACTAGTATTCTTTTTGTATTTTTACTATTATTTACGTAATATGTGATGTAATTAACTGGTTTTGTATTTATTTTTTTTTTTGGCCAATGAATATTATCTCTCTCTGATTTAAATTTCAAAAGGAATAATGGAAGAATTTATTTTAGTATTGCATTAATATAATGTAAGTATTTATAAACTTAAATAAAACTCTATTTAATATAAAATCAGAAGAAAAACATTTTCATAAAATTAAAAATCATAAAAAAACAATTTTATAATCCCAGAGTCCGGATTTATCTTATCAAAAAATGTCTTGCTTATGAATATGCTTTATACAAATTAATTTTTCACTCACTTAAGAATTGCATAATGGATTCACTGAAGATATTTAAAAAGATAAAAATCCAAATTTTACTTATGACTAATAATGTATAAGCCAAAA